GTGGATGTTTTGCTGGCTTGTGATGGGGTGTGAACCGACAGTCTGTAGAGTTTTCCATCTGGTGTGGGTGAGTGATAGTCTACTTTGATTTTGGTTAAGGTAGATTATCATTTACAGTGTAATCAGCGAGGGGATTCTGCAGACTGTTGAGGGTTCAGCCTCCTGATGAGTCGGTGAAACTCCGACAAAACAGTTTGTCACAGCCCCTCGTTTGTTGTCCTCTTCTCTCTCTGCCTACGGTTTACCGGGCAGTTCTATTTGTGACAATATATATATATATATATAGTCGAACACAGCTGCCCGGTAAACCGTAGGGCAGAGAGGGAGAAGAGGACAACAAACGAGGGGCTGTGACAAACTGTTTTGTCAGAGTTTCACCGTCTCAGCAGGAGGCTGAACCCTATACATAGAAAGAAAAAGAACGGCAGAGCAGCTGGGCAGGAGGATTGCCATTAAAAAAAAAAAAAAAAAAAAGGATTGCCATCGAATGAAAAAATTGAGCAGTTAACACAAAAAAGAGACTGAATTTTGACAGAGGCTTTGCAGCCCATCTCACAGCTGGTACCCCACTTAAAGCAAGAGAATGAAAGCCTGTTGAATTAATTTAGTCTTACAAAAAAAAAAAAACGAAAAAAACAAAGAAAGAACAAAAAAAAGAGAGTGGTCGCATTTTCTCTCAAACAAAATAGTTCCGTGTCCACTACCCTACCCGCAATTTGAGATATGGGGGAAGTAACACTTGGGGTAGTGCCCATAAGCCCCCCGACGTCTCCACACCCATCAAATATCATCTGCCTGTGCAGCTGCAGCTGAGGGTGGTATTATTTACTAGTAGGTGCTCATAGACCCACTATTTCTTTCTTCAGGATTGTTGAGACACCAATGACAACAAGCAATGCGCCTGGCATGAAGTGGGCTGGCCTGCGCCCCAAAAAAAACATGCAAATCCGTGCCGTGTCGCCCCTCTACTTCATCCTTCGCGAAAGGAATGAGCACAGTACTATGGCAAAAAAGGAAAACAAAAAAGGATGTGCATGGTGTGATGATGGCACCTCCGACGAGATCCAAACGGGACCAGAGATCGCAATGGGACCCGGCCCCAAACCCGGCAAACTTGTGAGTGTGCCATCATTACTCGTGACGACAGCATACTCACCCTAGGCTACTACTAGTACCTGTTCCACTACTTCGGCCGAAGTTAGAGGTCACCACCCAACCCATCGAACCTGGCTCTCCACCTATCTAAGTCTCAGCAGCCTGCCCCGCCACAGGCCCACAGGCATTATTGTTTCTACTCTATTCTCTCTATTCTCGATACCCTTCGTGACCATAAGCAATTTCCATTTGCTTGTCCAATCCAAGAATCGAACACACAGCCTATAGCTACCTGTTCCACTGCTTTGCGCGAAGTTAGAGGTCAGGCCAGTCACACTTTTGAGCCCTTCCTAGTAGTACCCACCCAGCGAACACAGCTCTCCCGCTATCTAATCCCCTTACGTTGTATTTGGGGGAGGAAGGTAGTGTTGTGTTGACTCTGCCCAACCCAGCCTAGCCCATCGGCCCCATCCCATGTCACCTTTCTGAAAGAGAAGGGCACATAGAGGGGTGACCGGTCATATCCCAACAAACCCATGATTGCCTGCCTACCAAGCCTACCATCTTCACCCGAATAGAATGCCGCCCTGTCATTATCGCTGTATCTAGATGCAAAGCGGCTCTTCACCCGAATAGAACGCCCTGTCATTATGGCTGTATCTAGATGGAAACTTTAAGCTGCTCTAAATACAGCCGCAATGACTGGGCGTTCTATTCGAGTGAAGATGGCAGCTAATTTGTGAGGAAAAGGGTACTACCAAGTGTGAGTCTGCCCAGCCCAACCCATGTGGCTGCATGGCACACATGCATATACCTTTTAGTACACAGTGCAGAGTTCGATCCCTACTGGAAACAGATGAATAATATAGTAAATGCAGGGGGGGAATAGAATGGGCTGCCCCCCATTAAAAAAGAAAGAAGTCTTAGAAAAAAAAAAAAAAAAGCAAAGAAAAATTTTCAAACTGGGACTCTTTTGATGTCTCTGAACACAATTGCATCCAGAGAAAAATCTTGGTAGAAAAAAAAAAGAAAAAAGAAAAAAGAATTCGTGGTGTATGGTCTGAGTATGGGCTTAGTTCGCAGCTCTGTGACAATACAGTGAATACACTACCTTGAGAATTCCGTCGGAAGAGCCCTACTCAGTCTGTGAAAGAGGAGATGACCTCATGTAAACCACTAGCGGTGCTGTGAAACAGGAGATGGCCTCATTTAAACCACTGCAGTGCGTTTTCCAGCCATTTTTTCGAAGTCGCAGGTGTGCATGCAGCCGCGACTCTCGGGAAGTACGAGAGCGCCATTTCGCAGGACTCTCGGGAAGTACGCGGACGGCATTTCATTTCACAGGACTCTCCGGAAGTACAAGGGCGGCATTTCGCAGGACTCTCGGCACGTACGAGGGCGCCATTTCGTAGAACATCCATCAAGTCCTTCGGGACATCCGTTAAAATTGGAACGATACAGAGAATGAAAATTACCGTGGCCCCTGCGCTTTCCAGGATGACACGCATAAATCGAGCAATGCTCCAACTTGCAAAAAAAAAAAAA